AGTATGTAGGAAGCTTGTTTGCTTCAACAAAAATAATTACATATTATCAGTTTTGATTGTAAAACGATCGTTTACCTTGTCAGTGAGTGCATGAATTATGTTTCTACAACTGTCGAAAACGGAATATAACAGTATTAGTCGGCAGTTTTTGGAAGTACATTAAAAATACGGTACCGTTAAATTTCTAACGAGATCTATCGCTGATTAGTGGTACCAAGAAAAGGATTCGTGTAGTAAACATACCAAATATTTAATTAGTGCATGAAAACCCCCTCGACGTGGTAAATCCATCTCCTTAATTTGTGAAGTTTGGATTTGTGTTGAACCAATCCTTGATATTAATGTATAAAGTGAATACAAACGTATCTATCACCTTCAGATATTGTTTTTCTTGTGAAATCGTAATTCTTTAATTAATACGAATTGTCGAATCTCCATCTGAGATCATTTATTGCGAATTTGTTGTCGTTTGTGTGATTGCACACAATTTTCCTTAAACTGTGGTTAATCCAAGTATTCAAGGTAACTAATAATACCTTGTAGATTGTTATAATCCTCATAAAAATCAATAACCATTGCGTGATTGTAAAATATCTGCTAAACGGTGACTTATAAAGTCGATTGAAGATCCACGACTTTAACGTTCAAAAAACAATGGTATAAAATAGGTTTATGGTGAAAGTGATTGCAGTTTATAAAAGATAAGAACAGAAAAATTGTTTATAAAATTACTAAAGTCATCTTTATATCTTTTGTGGTATTTCACAATCTGCAATCACTGTAAAGCGTTAAACTGATGAGATCTTATTAACTCAATGACAAGAGACGTTGTTTTTTAAAAATTTGTGAGGTTCATTTACACTATCAAGATTTATAAAATAATTAGTATGTAGTTTTTGTGGTGGCAAATTATTATTTATTATTCTGTCTACATATTTTAATATTAATATTTAACAAAAGCGACAATGTTTGGAGTTTATAGGGTATCTAATATTCTCACAGCTGAGAATGCAAAAAATAATAACCATCAACTTATTAAAAAGTAAGTTAATGGTGTATGACGTAAAAATATCTGATAGCATCGCGCTCCATACTGAAATAACCGTGTAATATAATTACGTGGGTAATAACAATATTGTATTATACGAAAAAATGTCTTTCATTATGTAAATTAACCCGTATAATATTCCTGTAACCTTATCTTATATCTACACAAACAGATAAATGTAATATTCATAATAAGATGTTGCGTTGATGTTATTATGAATTGATACTTGTAAGAAAATTTAAATTAACATCTACCATAACTTCAAAACTGGGCTAAAAGCCTCCGTTCTCAAGGGTAATTGTTGTGACATGTGACACATGACGAAAGGTCATAGTCTTCACGAAACGGCCATGAATAATGCATGTGCATTCAAGTAAAACTTTGTAAACGAATGAATAAGATAATAAAAACAATGTCAAATACCTAGTATTTTTATCGTATCAGTGGTAAAGTGCCAATTAAAATATCGTAACAAATGTACTTGATAGAGAGAATATGTCTTTACCTTCATTAAATATTAAAATAACATAATGACATACAATAATAAATAATAATACTGGGATTTATAACTCTACTCTAGCACAATTTACTATTATTTTGTGTTAACATACGCTACCTCATTACGGTCAGCTAAATGATGTCAGAGAATTTAGTATCTAGTTTTCCAGATCACTAATTACGGAGTCTTTTCAGTAAGTAACTTAATAGATAATTTTATTCGCTGGAATTATTTTTCAAAAAAAAAGATAATCGTTAAGAAATCTTTTCTCCCAGTATACAATGCTTAAACTCGAGAAAATAGTTTATTTCAAAAATGCCTAGATCAATAAAAAAAAATTCAGTTGGTAAAAATTTCGAGTGATACATATGTAGGTATATATTTGTTTAAAGATATTTCAAGACATTAAGACCTTGCTTAATTATACTATTGTTTAATTTTTTTAAGGAAAATTGCCATTTACATCGAAATTTTAATAAAAAAAATCAAATTTAAACGACAGTTGATATGGGATGAATGACTTAAAAAAAAGTTAAATATCGATATTTGAAAATTGTAACGTTTTAGAATTTTTTTATAAACACTCTGTGCATATTAAAATTTGATTTAATCGATATCACAACAAAGTGCGTACCTCTGTTTATCGATTGTGATTTTTTATGCACCCTTGCCCATGAAACACTTCAAGAAATTTGGAATAACGTGGCAACGTCGCATCGGAATTTCAAAAATATTTATAAAGCCGAAAAAGAAATCAATTATTCCTACTTCGCGATTACTACTACCGCATCATTCTAGTAGTTTTATATTTTTGTGGATTTTAGTGCAGGAAACTTATAGGAAAATATTTTTCATTTAACTTACAACAACTTTGATTGAACAAAATTAACGAACCAATATTTTTTTTTTAATTTACAATACTGTGAATATTTTTTATTTAGGACAAGGCATTATATCTCTTTTGACACTTCCAGCAAGTGTAATAAAACATTTTTTCTTGTAAAACTATACTTATGAATGTGATATAATCCATGTTATCAAAAATTCTATTAAAAACCCCTTGGAAGCCAGAAAAATCAACATAGGCTACATTTTATTTTGTGAATTTTTGTTTTCGATTGTGCGAAATAGTTTTGAATTAAAAAAAAATCGCCGAAGGTTATTTCGGCTTCTTCAAAAAATTATAAAATTTAATTTAGTAATGATAAACCCTATAAATTAGAAAGATATTTGTAGACTCTTTAAAGTACAAGCAAATGAGCATGTTGTGCGTTGTTTCGAGTGAGTTTTTCCGTAACAAAATTTCATGATGACATCAACAACATTTCAGAGCATTCGGTAAAGTTAATTTGTAAAATTCAATTTTGATTTCTTTTTTCAAAAAATTTGGATGTCTAGGGTAAAAACTTAACACGGCGTCACCCTGTGCCCTGTATATGCAAATCCAAAAAATTGACACAGACAACAGCCAGATAGACAGACGGAAACGGAAAACTGCTTTTTCGTACTCTAGGGTCATAAAACGTTGAGAAAATCTGGGCCTACTGCAATACATTATTAGCTTAAGTACGGACAGGAAGTAAAATGAAAGAAAAGAAATTTATAGTTAGAAGAGGCCATTAGAAAAATAGATTTGCTGGATGACGAATATGATGCAAATACCGTAGGAATGCATCATTTTGCCATAAGTCGTATGGTAACGACAAGAAATGAGGTTCTTATTCTCGAAGACCAGGGCAAGGGCGAAAATGGTGTACCATTCCCATAGACGGATGTTTTATTAGGCAATCCTCTCTCAGAAATCGGAGACTCATAAGCAATGCCCTCCAAAATGAGCTCGCAACTGCTCGAAATGTTGCAATATCATCTCGAATAGTAATAAGACGTTTAAAAGAATCAGGATTGAGCCACAGAAGAGCAACTAAAAAGCTACCACTAAAGACCATGAAGATTAAATGATTGATGACTGGAAGAGAGTTTTTCAACTTGCTGTATGGCTCTGTAGTATTTAATCATAGCTAGACATATTATGCCATTTGACCCCTTTGTAGGTCCCCATTTTCTGGTCATGCAAGATATTGCTGGTTCTCAAAGCGAGAATACTTGTGAATTACTTGATTGCTGTCGACATTTTCTGTTTATTCTGTTGTGAACCGGTAGCTAACAGTCCTGATTTAAATCCTATTGAACACTTCTGGGATAAGATTAAAAAAATATTTACCACGCATAATTAACTGGTAAATGCAGTGACTGAAAAAATGGAAGATATAGTTTGAGTGACTTTTTTGAAAATAATCATTTTGAACAATTTAGTTAAGTTCGTTTATAAAAATGATAATACTATTTGATTCTTATTAAATTTAAAAGTATTTTTATGGTCTCTTCCAGCCAAATGACAATGATTAAATGCAAAAACTAAGTTTAGGAATTAATCTTAACACGGCTCGCAAGCTGAAAGCGGTTATAGTGACAATTTAGGTTGACAACGTTACTAAAATACAAATTAGTCTTTTACCGTACATTTCGTTGACAATGAACTGAAAAAAGCTGAAGTTTGTGGTTCCTAAGCAAAAAATTGCACAGTAGTACGACACATTTTCAATTATTTTTACCAACATATTATATCTTACTATGTGTACAGTATTTGCTACAGTAGATAACTCAAAAATTGGATTAATGTGACATCTAAATCGCTCTTGTTCAATTATAAATTAGAGAAGTTCTTGCTAACGAATAAATTGAATTGCTTGAAGTTGTGAAATGATCAATATTTTGCTTGAAGTTACAATGTCAGGGATAAGTTTATCTTAAACAGATATAACCATTTTTAATGAATAGTAAACTTAGTAAAAATTTTCTACCCATAAATAACATTAAATTTGTGAAATTTGCTCAGTCAAGTTTAAAATACGTAATTTTGCTGTTGTTTCTCAAATTATCAATTATTAATATGACCATTAGGAAAACGTCAAAAGTGACAATATCAAACAATTTACATTTTGCCTAAAGTGCGAAACAACATGTAAATGTCTAAAATGTACATTAAACCTTTTGGATACAGGTGTGAATTTTATACTGAACTAAATTTATTCTATGTACTTTAGGTACACTGAGTAGAAAATAACTTAATTATTTTTTTAGCATTATTCGTAAATCTTTTCGAAAGTAGCAGTCATTAATAATAATTTAAAAAACACATATATTACCAAAAAAATATATGAGACCAGTACCTACACGATTAACCAATTTTGTCTATGAAAATGACAAATTGGCACTTACTTATCTCTTCGATAAAAATGCGTGCCCGAATGCTTGAACTTTAATATGCTTGTATATTAAAAATTAATATTTATCGAAATTATTGCATTCGAATATTTTTGTTGTGAGTAATTTGTTTACGCTGTCACTAGAACCGCTAAAAAACCGTTAAAAATTTCACACAGATATATTTACCTTAAATCCCGGACTAGCACCCAGCTTTCCTCATTTTTCTTAAGAGAAACACATTAAAATGACGTCACTGTACTCTTTATTTGATGATGGTATTATTTACATGTCCACCTACTTTCTTTACGTCTTAACAAAAAAACGTCCCACTTAAGTCAGTTTTCACTTTTCACATAGCTTTGAATTTTAAAAAACTATTGTCAATAAAAAACAATGCGCTTAATTAAAATTAATTAAACAGCGTCTACCACTGACAACAATTCTGACCTCCGTTCAAGTTCACATTTTCCAAGAATGGTTCGCCGCTACACACATGATTTAGACATGCCTACATAGTTGTAGAATGTTAATATGGATCAAGTACAGTATATGGACCTTGTGTGGACGAACACCCGCTATGACTACTTCTTTCTGCACGCCGTTCAGGTGACAGTCAACCAGGTGAAATCACATTACACCGCGAGTTCAGACGACTTATCTCGGTGAAAGTCGGCGGTTTTGTTGTTAAATTTTAAACCATTAAGTGCTCAAGACTAGATTTAACCGACAAAATGCGCGCTTTACAATGGAATGAATGCGATTTCCAGTCATCAGGGACGCGTGGGTGTTGTGTAATGATAAACACCCGGATGCTTCACTCTTTCGTTTATACAGACTAGGTATAGGCAAACCAGTTTTTGATGCCTCTACTGGCAATCAGGCTACTAGTCCATCATGGAAAAAAACGCTTTTTGCATTTTCATGACTTTATTACAACCGGTATATAAATTATAAATTGAGCTAAATACACACAGCTTGCAGTGTTATATATACATAACTATGTACAGCATGAATTGCACTAACATCACATGTTATTGATAACTAGAAGCTACTAGCTTATCAGCCGAAATTTTCGAAATGGTGGATGAAGTATGGCAGTTTCCTCCCTTTGTTGACATCCTCACACGCCGACATCACACTCTTTGTTAAAGGTCTGGGCCCGCAGCTAAACACACCGATTTTACTGACCTACAAACACAATATTACTCAAATTTGTATTATATTTCGATTTACTCATCACGACTTACATAACTGTGTCTTTTTTGCACAAATTTTAAGAAAGAGGTCATATCCGGTCTTCCAAAGTGATTAACCGCTTTCAATCCGGTGAATATGGACGTTTTCGAAAGTCTTTGGAAGTGATTCTCGCAAATGTACTAAAATTGTTTACATCAATACCCGTTTTCTCTTATTGCGAACTCATACTAACCAACATCGTCGTTCGCAAATCAAACTTGTGGAAGAATTGTGTAATGAATATATGGATCTCCAAGACATTAGTAACATCCTTTTTTTCGACATCCCGGAGAACGTCAATAAACCATTCAAAGTGTTTGTGGGAAGGACATATCCACAAAAAGTAAACCTACAAACGTAATAGTACACCTAAAAACACTTTTGTAACAACTCACTTTTTTGCAAGCAACCCCCGAATATCTGTTAGTTGAAGTACCAAAAACTAGATCGTTCAAAATAGACGCATACGGGGTCACCCCAATTCCGCCTCCCACCATCACGGCCACTTCGAACTTGTACCAGTCTTGATTACCTCCTCCGAAAGGTCCTTCCAACAATATCTTCGGTTGATCTTCCGGGTTGTAATTAGAAGGGTCAAAGTAATTTCTCAATTTCCAAGTCCAAGGACCTACAATTCTAAGTTAACTTCCGGAAATGGTTCAACCAGGAACTTACCTTGGGCCTTGATATGGCACGACAAAAAATTTTCATGTGGTGCTGACGTTAAGGTAAATGAATGAAATTCACGACTTTTGAAAGCCGTACATGCTAAGCGAACCCACTGACCAGAAAGATACTTCAGATTTGGAGGCCTGTAGAACTTTATCTTAATAACATCCGATGGTAACAACTCTGTTTCTATAACGTCTAAAGGTATGTATTTAGTCCTCAAACTGACAACCTGAAATTTACAAAGTAAAGTTTTCGTTATGAATGTTTAATTGGTTGAAGACCTTGTCTAAAGTGTAGACAATTCCGGGTCCAATAAAGAATATCCAAAATCGTGGAGCTCCGGTTAACCTAGCTAGGCCATGAATCAGGCACAATATGTACAAAAGAATGTAAAGATTGTGAGTGGCCCAGAAGAAATTGTAGGCTTTTTTCCGAATCGTGGGATGGGCAAACACTATGATAATACTCATTGTAACAAAAAGCAAAACTCCGGTCAGACCTGCAAATGATGAAATGATGAATCCAAAATTGTCTTAATTTGAGAAAATACCTGTTATTGTTTGGAACAACCAAAACGTAATTCCTGGTTTGTAATCAGAAGGAAAACTGACTTCGTTGGTGAGACACTTTAAATTTTCAATCGGTTGAGTGGACACGTGGTAAAAGTTGACAATGTGTCCAACTGTGTGCAACAGCGAAAAGAACAAAGCTGTACACGCTGCAATTTTATGAAATTGGATGTGCGTATCTAAAGGGATGTATTGTTGTATTGAAAATTCTTTAAGTTTTGTAAGAAGGTTCCGGGACATTGTTAACAATAAAATACTGTAACAGAACGACAAAGAGGCCGCCGAGCCTCTTGTTATTGCAATTCCAACACCCATAATGTGACGTAAGTCGGTGTGTTCCGCCATAAATGAGTAATCTAAAATTGTAAACATGCACCATTGAAATGTTACGAAAGGTTTAGGAACTTACGAATAAACCTTTCAACGAATAAAGCTATCGTGATGACGTAAAAAATGAATAAATAGAATATGTTCTGTCGGTTCTCTTCTAAAAACGTTGTTAAAGAATCCCACTTGAGTTCGATGTAACTTTTTTCGGAATCTATCGTTGGCTCAATGTGGAAACTTGTCATTCTAAAAAGGGAAAAGGTGAAAACTTTGTAGCAACACATAAAGGTGTCTTTTTTTACCTAGCAACATTAGTTGAAGTATCCAAAAAGTTTTGTTTCGCACCTTTACAATCCAGTCCGATGGCGACAAACTCGCCTTTATATTCCTTCATCATCTCTTTAAAATCGCTATAGGTCAAAAAGTGTTTATGTTGAAGTCCTGCATCCTACGACACAGTTGATCGAATTAAATCTAATAGTGGATGTGTTAAAGACATACCTGGAACATTCCTTCAATCAATTCAGTCACATGGTCGTCGCTTAAGCTTGTAGTTCGTGCGATTTCAACCAATGATCTTAACATTTCGGAAAGTTCTTCTTTATCAATGACTCCGTTACCATCGTTATCACACATATCAAAAATAATACGTAACTTATCGTCTGTTTTGCCTCGCGAAAACAGAACTACTGTGTCTAAAAATTCCTGAAAATTTTTACTCGCATCTTCTCTTTGTTATGTTTCAAACTTACTTGAAACGATATTCTCCCATCGCCGTCTTTATCCACTATATTGAACATCTTTTTCACGAAAACTGCATCGTGTTTCATGCCTAGAGCACTTGCGAACTCACTTTTGGTTAAAGAGGTTCTCATAACAGTCACCACTTCACCGTCGACACTAGCATCGGATCTTCGACGGCGTTCACCAGGTCGAAGACCAAATGTTAAAGCATAAGCTTCCCGGAAGAAGTGCTCGAGTTTCTTCTGTCTACGTTCGCTGGTTTCGGCTTTTGCTAACATAAGCTCTCGCACAACCTACAACGTCACTATACTCTCTATGCACGGATTTACATTTGGACTCACCTGTGTGATGATCAAAGTTTTTTTATTGGAACTTAAAAACAGTTCCAATTTTGTTAGGAACTTCTTTCGAGAACCTATTGAATCTAGTTCGATCACCAAATCATGATCTCGAGGAACTCTAATTAAAACCATCGGTTTTTTATGATTTGTGAGCTCTACAGATTCTTCTACGTAAATCGAATCGGTGTTTTTGAAGCTAACCGTACGCAGCTTTTCCCCCTTTCTTCCAATAATGTGGATAGCTATTTCTGGGCCGAATTTTACTTTAACTAGTCTTTTGTGGTTGGCGTGGAGCCACTCTTGGACGATCATTGTGTCCACTGGTAATTTGCCTTCTACGCAATTTCGCAGTTCTTCTTGTTTGATTTTTAGTCTCCTTCGTCTTCTGTTTTGCAATTTGACAACTCCGTAGCCGGCTCCGGCACAAAGTATTGGCACAAAGCCGAGAAAAACGCAGGCGTAAATGTAAACCAGTTCATTGCCCTAGAATTTCAAAAAAATTAATTCAGTAATGCTGCACTACACTTCTAGAAATGGGACGAATCTACTTGAATGTATCAAAGTATGAATAAACGTTGAATAAAGATGATTATTAATATCAACAAGCGTGCGGTAATAAAGTATGAACATTTTATAAGCACAAAAGAATAACAACGGTTAGATTTGTTATACAAATAAGGAAATTATCCGAGACACCTCTCTAATTCATTCCTCGAAAAAGTGTTGACAATAGTCTCCGTGGGACGACTAAAATAAATCTTAAGTTACTTGACGAGAATGTATTTGCAGTTTTATTGTTAAAAAAAAGCAATCCAACTTCATAAATCTTTAGAAAGAAGACGTATTTGGTTTTACGTATAACCGGTTATTTATGTTTCGACTGCAAAAATGTTAATACAACAGTAGCTATCAAAGTAGCCCTACTTTCAAATACGTCTTCATTTATCATGCTTAGTGATTTACGATATGCCACAGAAGTCCAAGAAAAGTCTTAAGCTGACTATTTTTAGAAAAGAGCAAAAGCTTTTGGTGAAATGAACGGTAAACTAGTTTTGTTGACAAATCTCAAAATATGATTCATAGCATTTTTTATATAATAAAGCATGCAAAACTTGATGATATTTTCCACTGCACCCAAAAAATGTTTCATTCGCTACTTATTGTGCTTTTTTTTAATAAAAATGTTTATGGTTTGGGAAATCTGGAATTACATATATCAGATTTAACCTAAAACGTAGGTAAAATCAAAAAGTAGGTGGTCCTGTAGTTTAGAACATTATCTGTTTAATAAAATCATGAAGACAAGGAAACTTGTTTAACATTAATAACAAAAACGAATAATGTTAGTTTCATTGTCTATGTACTGAAGAAATCGTTTCTAATTATCTTTTCTATATTTTACGATGTTTTGTTTGTGATGTAATTAAGCTTCGTCCTAAGACGTAATAATGTACGTATTTTAAACGGATTAGCAATACACCTTTTTGCATATTAGACAGTAAACAATTTTCAGTAAATTTACATTTATTAGCCTTATCTCTCTTTTAGTTCTCTAGATATTTACACTTTTACAAAATTTAACTGAATGCCTTGAGCGCTAATAAAGAAAGAATGTAGTCAAAGTTTCTATAATAATAATTAATTTCAAAGATTTTAAACCCGGTTTAAATCGTTTCTCGAATTTAAAGGTGGTTAGCTTTTGTCATAAACTATATTTTTTTACATTGAACTTTTCCTACGGTAAAAGCAAGGACATGGAGATCAATTTTGACATTTGTTGTGTTAACAAAGAAATTGGGTTCGTTTATTATTATTAATTAAACATATTATCAATGCTTTTTTATTTTTAGAAGGTACTTTTTGTGTTGTAAAAACTATTAAAAAGGACATTGGATGCATTTACTTAAAAAATGTTCTAAATACTAAGTACACAAAAATGCAACACAAATATAAATACCAGTAAGAAAACACATTTAAAAACTGATTTAAATGTTCAGGTATGTTTGTGAAATATTATTTATTTTTAAATTACTAATTTATTCCATTAATAAACAGATTCCACACTACGCATAATTAAGTATAACATACATTTAAATAATATTTTTACATAGTTTGAGAATTTAGTAAAACTTTGTAGAATATCCTCACGTCAGTAATAAATAAAATGTTGTAAGAAAAAGTCACAGATAGAACAAGATGTCTTTAAGCATTTACGATAAGAAGTTTGAAAAAATGATAAAGTGAGGAGTTTGGCAACCACTACTTTAGTAAATTTGAAGCAGAAATACCACTATGAGTAAGAGGTTTTTCTGATTCCTTAAATAAAGTTAACAAAAAGCCCAAAACCAAAGTGACAAGTAGTATAAATATATAATCAGTATTTTATCAGTAAATATTTAGTTAGAATTTATTTTGCTACATTTTAGACGTTTGGAATGTCTGAAAAAAGGTGTGACAATAATAATTGATATTAACTTTAGTAAAGTGAAACAAATGCTTCAAATTTACTATATGTGTTACTGTACACATAAGTCAGAAAAGAACAGCGATGATTTTTTATTAATTTTTGTTTTGTTTTGTGTTTTAGTTTTATAGTGGAGCTTCCCATTACCAAGAACACAAATATAACACATAGATAATTTCACAGCTATTTAATTTTACAACTTGTTTCAAACTCATGTTCTGTGCAAAAGAATCTTATCGGTTAATTAAATTAATTGCGTTAAGTATAGAATACTTTCTAAGAAGTGAAATCATGTCATGACACACAAGTAAAGATGATGTACATATATTAATCGATTTTTTATTTTCGTATATTTTGTCTTAGCTACATCTTCCGAGAATATTAATTTTAAAAGTGTGCAGTCATAATGACTATCTTATTTCGTAGTTAATTTATCGATGGTAATACCCGTAACAATACAAGTTTTAAAAAGTGTAATTAAAAAAATAATCGAGATAAGACATCAATGCATAATGAATGGTTAGAGTAGGAAGACTTGCAAAATTAAAATTCTCATCTTTCGTTAAGCCTAAGTGGACAACATTGATCACGAATTCAATTTGAAGTTTGCGACGTCATTTTTAAACTATATTTTGCTTGCGACAGCTCTAAAACGATGATAAGTTATTAATAAATACTGTATTAAAATTGTCAATTACCAGGGTGCGGACAATGCGGAGTAATCTAAAGCGTGCTTGCGTTGAGTTGCAAACCTCAAGGCCAGGCGTTTACGTTATCAATTATTGCTTTGAAAATTTTTTGTTCAAAATGTATATACAAAGGGTAGTTACAAAGTTGACAAAATAAATTTTCTTTGTTAGTTTTTCTTAAAATGCTACATTGTGCATCACAATAGTATTTTTTAAATTAAAAATTATCAGTATGACCAATTTTTGGTGTGTAAAAACTGAAAAAATGTGGCAAAAATTAATTGTACATGAGTATTAAAATCGATGGATTGACGATTTAACTAAATATTATCCTCAATTAGTTAACTAATCGACAAAATAATAGTTATATCACAAGGCCAGAAACTAAGCATGTTTTGAGATATTGATACACAATTTTTTTGTGTCGATTTTTATAAAATAAGATTGTTCTTGAATTATTTATTGATTTTAACGCTACATTGTCATGGAAAAGAAACAGTATACAGAATCCTGTATAGCCTAAGGGTAAAAGGAGTAGCCCCACGACCGAGAACTGAGTTCGAATTGCTCTTGCTGCTGTTTTTTTTTTTCTCCTCTTTATTTATTCATATAATAAGGAGCACGTCTTTAACATTTTTATTTTAAACTCGTTCTAGCTCAAATCTTAGAAAAACTTTGCTTCATTGCAAAAAAAATCTACTTGTCAGTTACATAATGGCAAACCGTATAATAGAACCAATATAAATCGCTAATTATAAAAATATTTATAGGTTTTTGTCGGCCTAGACCCGTAATTTTTTTATTTCTAGCCGTTAGAGACGATTAGTCCGTGAAAACTGTATTATAGGCACTAGTCCGAAAAATAAGTATTAATTAATTAATTTATAATTTTTCTGACTGCAATTTTGTAAAATTAATCTAGACGATTTTGAATTACATATTACATTCAAAATTTTGTCTACAATTTTTTTAATTTACCTCCACAAAGAAGCTTGTCTGTCTTATTTCATCGGGTTTGAATTTGTATAACTACGTAACATTTATTTATAATGTTACGGTCTTCGTTGTGTTCATGTCTTGTTTGACTCTTTTGTAGATGTAATTTAGTTAAGACTTTATGTAATAATAAAAAAAAAGCTTATATGGTTCCATTTAGGCAAGTAAATCTCTTCAGAAGTTCATCTGTAGACAAACTGAGAAATTTGCAGATATACCACAAAATATTCTATATTGCTGCATGTTGTTAACAAAAATCAACAATAAAAAGTTGAATTAAGAAAAAAAGTTGTATTTCCATGATCTTACCAAACGCTATAAACTGCATAAACACAAAAACAAAAAGGGAAAGTAGTTTAACTAAAGGTATTGAAAGCTTCATTCTATACTGATTACATTGCCTATGTTGTTGCTATGGAACCAGTATGACGTTATCAAATACTTTTCCGATAAAACCATATCTATCATTTGCTTCTTAATTTCAGAGCAGTTCAATGTTTCAATGTTTACAGAAAGACTAGAAATACTAGAAGGTTTGGGTCTACTTATTTCAGTGATGTATTTCACACCAAATGAATAAAAACTGTGTCCTAAATCTTCATATAGCTATATCAACCCTAACAGCACCTTAGATGATTTCAATGGAACATTTACAAAATTCTACAATTTCAGTAGTTTCTATTGATTTTAGTACCTAAAATTTACCTCAAAGTAGTCGTATCCATTTAAGATTTTACAAGGTTCCATCAAAGAAGCATTCAGCTGCATAGGTTGTGGACATGGATCGCCTTTCATCCAAAAGAAGACATTTTTTTGAATGTAATGCGGCTGTATATCTGTACTATTAACAATAACATCCCACAGTGTAATTTTTCTAATAATTTCAATTTCTTCCTTTGTAAAAATACTAAAATTCTTCAAATAATATTATATACAATTTCTTTTCCTAACAGTACTTACCCATTAGCCTCGTTCTCAAACCAAAATCTGTCAGCGTCACGTAAACGGGCAAACTGTTCTTTAATCACAGTTGTAAAAAGTTCACCAGGACTTCCATAACTTTCCAACATACCTCCGACGTAAACATCGACATTATTCAAATTATTCGAGTAAACAGAAACCAGTGCTCTTAGTAATTCTGGTTTTTCTTCGAATAATTTCGGATTAATGTCGGTCCATTTTTCTATTTTTGGCAAATTGTAGTAAGATCTTACGGTGTTGTAATCTGGTAATCCGTTATCGCGACCTCGCATGATATTCAAAGCACCGAGATCTCTTCTTGAAAATTCCATAGGACCGAAGAGTTTGTCTCTTACGTCGGAACATAGGACCGAGTCCTCTCTTTCACCCAGTTGTGACGTCATTCCCATCAAAAGTTTTTCTAAAGAGTGACTGACCAAAACGTCCTGTAAAAAATAAGTTCGAAATACAGCAAAATAATTTTGTTTTGAAATTGGCGTACTTACATTAGAGTCCCACCACGTGGCACACAATCGTAATCCCATAGGTGCTTCTTCATAATTGCATTCACCATCTCTTCTAAACAGTCCAGGAGGTATTAAAGAGTGTCCAAATCTAAAGGCTGCACTCTGAAACACATGCGTAATACCCGGATGTACATCTTGTTTGTATCCTGTATATTCTGGTAGCGCTTGACCCAAAAACGCGGGTATGTACTCATACGCTATAATGTTTTGAAGAGTGGCGACAACGATTCTCCGCGTTCTCTGAAAAACATCTTCATCACTCCAGTCCGGATGCTCCTTTTGAACTCTTTCAGCGACAACATTGTGCCATCGAAAAAATAAAATACTTATAGTCAGTAAAGCAGGATTTTGGTTCGTCCGGGGATCTCCCAGTACTAAAATTATGTCACTTATTATTGTCCCAACATAGTGTAAAAAAACTTACGGAATAACCTCTCAGTACTTAACATTTTCATGACATGTGGAACAGGGTTATTGAAAAGTGGTACTCTCATCGAATTTCGAACCGGCATTTTGCCTGAGGCGTCTGTTAAAAAGGTACCATTGCGAAACGACCTCATGGTATTAACCCACGGCTCGCTGGTACTGTATATGAAACTACCATCTATCCAACTCGACACTTGATTCAACTAAAAGTAGAGGTTGAGTTTGGGCGGACTAAATCGGTGATTTTGAACCTGCTCTCTGGGACTGTTGGGACTTTGGCCTGTTTTTCTGTCGTAGCCTGCACGGTGGAAAGGGATGTATTTGTCTCCTCTGCATTCTTTATCATAAACGTCATCACATTTTTCGATTTCGATATGGTGCATTTCTATAGGACAGCCACTTTCGCTGGCCATCACCACCTCAGAGGTGACCATTTGTCCGAAGAATGCCAAAAGAGCTGTTCTGTTACTCATAGAACCTAAGCCATCTAAGCCTCGCATAAATAATCGACTTAGTTTCCTTGGGCTGGGCCGGTTCTGACCCGCTAACATATAGACTCCATCTGAGTAAGCAGAGGGGGCTCTGCGAATGAGGTGAGACTCTAAAATAAAACAAAAGTAAATGTTAAAACAACAAAAATAGGACTACATGACACACATTGCAATTTTTCATGTTTAACAGAACTAAAAAAATAATCGGAATAAAAATGCATGTTTCATTAGTATATTGTGCAATTATATGCTGTAAATTGTTGAATATAGACTACTATTAATATTATTCTTATTTTACTATCTGTCAGTATAGAACAGGTACATTAGCTATTACCATAAAACATTCAAAGTGGGACACCCACAGAATATTTTGACGAAACATTCATTGAGTGAATTGTAAGCTGCAAAGTTCGTCTCTCAAGATTTATTGAGAAACTCATTGTGCGAGACAGCTATTGTTTTTTAATAAAAGTGGCAACATTATGTCATTTCCGATAAAATTCAAAGTAACGCAGCTGTGACACAACTAATCAAGGAACGCGAAACCGAAACCATCAATCAGTGCTAGCACTGGATGATTAATTTATTTGTTACATTCTTTTTGATTTACTGCTAATAAAACATCATCTTGACACACGATTACTTCAATTTTTTGCAAATTAACTGTAAACGGAATGCAAATTAACTTGGATCTATAAATTTTCTAGCACAAGTCTAGCTGTGACATACAGTTATCAATTAATAGGTATTTGATCTCGTTTTTCAGTATCGGGTTAAAAACCACTTTCCAAACAAGATAAATCACCATTTCAAGGTTACAACTCTACACCTGATGATCTAATTTTATTTTGAGAGATGTGGGATTTTCGTTTGTCCTCTAGACATGTACAAATTCAAGTAGTAATCTTTTTGTTAATCTTCGTTAAATCATTCTAAATGACGCTTAGCTGACAAAAAAGTAGAATGGATAGTGGCAACACTGTTTACCATCAAGGATGAATTTATTTCTCCGAAAATGATTACGAAATGAGTATTTTATCCGTTAGTGTATCAATAATTTGGAAATATGTGAGATTCTGCAATTCTATTAAAATGATTTACAAATCGAGGATGATTAACCTTCGAGAGTTCAACAGACAAGGTTATTTTTTGCCAAGAAATATGACATTTAAAGGAAATTTTATTGATTGATATAAAAATGCCATAAGAATATAACCGTTTTGATAATATCAACAGCATTAGCATCTACCAAAAGACTTTTCAAAAATATCAAACGGTTTAAAGATTTGAAGGTTGCAGAATTTTTTTGTTATCAAAGTTTTATTTATGCACAGTATTATTTATCAATCTATTGGCTGGTCACAATGTATGTGAAATATTTTTTCAACTAAGCATGACTGATCCTTTGATTTGATCATTTAGCAATGCGTCCTTGGATTTTAGTACATATAGGGTTCTTCCATTTTGTGTGGTAAGTTTTTGAAAATTGAAGTCAATTCCTAACAAAAAGGAAAAAATGAACTTTATCAAAAATTTGTTTTTAAGTTATTTGTGGTTTTATATTTTATTACTTAAACATTTGAATACTCTCAAATAAAAAAAAATCCTTCTGAACTATTATTATCAAACCAACAAAAATAAGTGCTTACAAAAAAACCTGGTCTTTCTACTATTTACTTTTATTACAGAACTTTTTCCACTGTTAAAAGTATGTCCATTTTCACATCTTTTGATTTGGAAGATTGAAAATATTACATCCTACAGGAATAGGTCAAAAAAAAAACACTAAAAGTTAATTAAAATAACGTGCGATCAATAAAAATATCCTCTAGTTGGCACTGGATTTTTAGATGTCTTCATTCCCCAGAAAGATAGCGCTCATCGAGCCATTCAAACAAAGTATTATATCACATTGCATTCATAATTTTATTAATATTGTGTACGATGTTTTTGGGTAGGTATAACTTTTTTCGAAAAGAAGTAAATAAAGGAAAGTTGTCTAACTGAACTTAAAGCATATTTATTTGTCGTCAAATGATTTTATTGATTCTTCTATGTTCTATACTTATTAGATTACGCATGAAGTGGAGGCACCACTCATCGAATGAAACTTATTAAGATAAAATAAATTTGTGGTTAGCAACAGCAACATGAGTGACGTTGAACTGTATAAATATGAGTAATATAATAGCACATTTAAACAAAAATTATCAAGCTGAAGGATTTTTTAACGTTCTACTTGTGAAATAGCGAAATAATAACTAATAACTAATACTGTTGCCAAAGTGAAATTCTTTTAATAATTGAAAAGGTAATGAGCATCTACAAATAATAATAACCTATCCTCGCGTGTATGACTAATTTCTTTCACAGAAACCATAACAACAAAAACCACTAGAACCACAATCCGGTTATTGACATTTCTAGAGAAAATACTTGTTTAGCAGCTAACATTTTTATAGGGTTAATTAAGTAATTTATTCTTAAGTAAGTTACTTCCTTGCAGAAAGTAATAAAAATGATCCAATTTGGAAAAAGAGCAAGGGCAATTAAGTCAACCCTCAAATTTATTAATACGTCTAGTCGCTGCAGTAAACAATGACGTTTTGACTTTGAACTCAGGCGTTGCAACGTTTCGATGGTAGATTACTTATTTCTTATTTCTTATGAGCTTATGACCTATGAAGAAAATACTTAATCACAAAATCATTAAAAAATAATTATTAGAAAAAATGTTTCTTTCGCTTCGTGTTTTGTAACGAAAGAACCTTACAATAGATTGCTTTTCATAAGATTAAGTATTATGAATCTAAATCTTGACAATAAATTGTGTTTCAATTTTACACTTCTTATCTGACTGTCCTAATTTAAGATTATAAGATCCCTTCAATAATGCACTTAGATATGTAATTTTCCACCACGAAGTCGTTGGAATACCCTGTGTACTGGTCAAGTGATTCGTGAACAATAAGAACATTCAGAAAATTTCACTGTACTAGACATAAATCTGTAGTATTGGTGAAATCAAAAACTAATAACAGGTTATACTCAACACTATTTACAAAATGTTTAGCCCTAACATACACAAATTACCAAATCAAAATAAAATCAATACAAAATTTTGCACATACATACTATTACATAATGGAGTACTTTCGAGAGATTTTAGAAACCTCAAGACAATTTTTATAGTAGAAATTTAAAAATTAATAGCGTAAGTATGTTTTGAAATATAGCTCAGTTTTGAAAAAATGCAAATCAGCCAGTATTTTGCATCTGATACTGTCGTACCTAATTATTTATTTACTAACTGTCATATGTGGAGTTCGCTCTCATACTTTTTGTACCCATTATTCATCATTGTAAATTACCACAGATGCTCAGTCATAGGCGCCGACTCAGCGGGGGTAGGAGGGGTCGGTACCGCTCCTCCTTCAAAGAAACGAACGGATGGAAGTATTTTTTTGCTTTCCCGGCTTTCGCTTGCCTTATTGATGTCATGTTAACAAAGTATAATCTTGCAACCTCTCGCTCACTTTATCCAAATTACACTGCCAAAATGTCACACATTTGCTTACATTTACTTTTTACATTTGTCTTTTGCAGAGCCGGCATTCTCAAGGAGTCCGAATGAAAGAATAATGTTGTTCTTTTTCCAATACATTTCTCAGGAAAGTTCTCTGAAATTCTCATGTTCCGTGCTGTTGTTTTTGCTTCTTCTAAAAATGCGTTAAATTTTGACCTCAGATTTTGGATTTCACTTTTAATATGATTGTATTGTACAATCACTGAAAATACATACTAAGACCCCCCCCCCCCCTCTATAGGATTATGTCTACTCAAAAAATATAAAATACATATTTTAATAAATAAATTTTTTTTATTTATCAAAAAATAATTAAGATGAATAAAATTCGAATGGAATTTATTTTGGAAACTTAAGGAAGAGATCAACACTTCTTTACTACATTTATTACAGCCTAATTTTAGGTTTAAGTGGTGCAAAGTAGCAATTAATTAACACATTATTTAGAAAATACTAATTGCTTCCTTGTTCTTTTTCAAGTTTACTGATGCTAACATTTTTTTAAAACCACTCTGATCTACTGTACCGGCCAGAAAATCTTGGAAGTCATTTTTCTGTCATTTTGAAAATTTTTTGTTGTCTATGCCTTTTTGCCACTTTGACGTTTGAAGTTTAAATGTTTTATCACGTTGCATCCAGTGTCAGCATGCCCGCAATGTCAAAAATGAAAAAATTAAAAAACTAAGGTTGCAACAATACAAAAGACATTTTACACTTTGTGACAGTGGAATTCATTTTATCGTATAGTGGTCCAACTCTGACTTCGTTTTTATGGCACTGCAATCTCAATTACCGCAAGTATTAGGAACTCTATTGAAAATGTAAATAAATCATCTTAAAGGTTTACGGGCGCCGACGGCCCTGTGTAGTGCAGACAGTTGGTCCCTTGATGGAACACTTAACTCCTTCACAATAGGATGCAGTCATATAAACGAACCAGCAGTTGCGGCACTATACAGAAAAGTAATTGCGGAACTACCACAAAAATAATCTTATTAAATTCACCGCATCGCTGGCCAAGTAGGCTATGACAAATGTGACATAAATAATCTACATTTAACAAACGTCAAATAGTAAAAATGAAATAATTTTTGTCGGAATCGGGTGATTCGGAAATTTGGCCATAAAGTTGTCACAATTCACATACATACTTGACAAATAATGGCTGAAAAATATGACAAATTTTACTTTTTACTTCCCGAGCGTAAGCAAATTGTAATTGAGTCCGTCGGCCGACTGTCTACCTTTACATTTTCTCGACCTTTCATGACCGCTACAGGACGAAGAAATAGGTCTCCTGTTTCCGTCTGTCTGGCTGTCCAACTGTCCGTCTGTCGTCTGTTTGTCTGTCTGCCATCATGTATTTTTATTAGACCGATAATCTCCGAAAGTACTGGACCGATTGTTGTCAAATTTTGTATTTATATTAGCAATATCATCTAGATGGTAAAACTCTAACCAAAATTTCTCTAATCATCCCTACTACTAATGCGATGACGTCACTTCAAAATTGTACATAGCAAATGGATTTTAAATTGTATAAAATAACATAGTCCTAAACATGTAGTTTATGACTCCGAAACGTCTAGATTTTTGGAAAAAAAATCAAAATTATAAGACAACCTTTTGCAATTTAATTTTGAATCTGCTAAACCGAATGCTTTGAAATCTTGCAGATGTTTTAAGGTTATAAATTTTTAGTCAAAATATATTTGCTTATCACCGCCAAAAAATTGATGACGTCAGCTCAAAAGTTTGCCGAATAAATCCTATCTAAAATGAACAAAATATGATGAGTCTGTACTTGTAATTTATCATTCCATTCATATTTTTTGGGTTTGCATATTCAGAATGACAAAAAAATTAATGAATGCGTAAATTTATTTTATTGATTTAATCAGGAACTATAAAACCGAATGCTTTGAAATCTTGAAGATGTTTCAAAGTTATCATAAGCATGGTAAAAAATTGATGACGTCACCCCAAAATTTTGCTGAATAAATCCTATCTAAAATGTACAAACTATGATGAGTCTGTACCACGGTTGTAGAATAGATAGGTTTGTACACTAATGGCTTGAGATGGCGACGCTTCTTTTCGATCCCTATATCCATGGAAAGGACACATACAGCTAGCGCCTCTACCTTGTCGAGCGGAAATCGTTCTAGTTATTTTGGGGATTTTCGTTTACATTGCTTTATGAACAATACAAAATTTGTAAATGACATTTGATCTGAGTCGATAAATACGATTTCTTTTATTAATTACATCGGTTATAGACAGATGCCTATAGAGTTCTGTGTCCCTAAAACGTCAAAAACCAGGCGACGCGATCGGCAATTGGCGTCGCTGGCCAGGGATATGCAAATGTATGCTAGTGTATCAACCTATCTATTCTACAACCGTGGTCTGTACTTGTGATTTATCATTCCATTAATATTTCTTGAATTTGCGTATACAGGGTGACCCAAAAAAAATGATCACTGTATTTCAGGAGCGAGGAAAGTTCCGTCGAAATAACTTTCAACCAATTTTTTATCCATTGTATGTAAGCAAATATTGTAACATAAAGGTAAAGTGAATAATTTGACGTTTTGCATATAACTATTTTGAGAGTTTCTCACGGCCTTCTGGACAAGCAATATGTATGTAATGAATTTAATGGGCTTTTTGAATTATATGTAATTCTTTAATTAATTTGTTCTGTACCATAAAATGAACTGAAATTGATTTATAAAATACTAGTCTAATATTTTGCCCAATTTCATTTCGTGCTAGAAAACTTATTCAGACAAATCTGTACCTTTTTCACTTTTCAGAATGTAATAGCTCTATTATTAACAGACTTTAAATTTTAAATATAAGTTGTTTTAGAACTTTATCGCTATAACACGGCGGTAGTTTTTTTTAAAAACATCTTACCATCATGTTTTTTTTCATCGCGTATTTTTAAAAATCAATATCCCAATTATTTATAGAAATTTCGACACGCGCTTTTCACCACTGCTTTCAAAACCCCTATATGTTACGTGGAAAACATTGTTGATTTCTTTTGTTGAAAAGGAAATACAGCAAAAGCAGCTTCTTCGACACATGATTCTTTTTAGTACATTTCATTTCCGAAAAAAAAGGAAAACGTTTCCGGGATGCGTATACCTACAGATCTGTAAGCTGAAAACAGTAGTGAAAATTGCTTTACGAAATTTCCCTAAATAGTAGTTTTTGATTTTTAAAGATACGTGATGAAAAATTTCACCATAATTCTAAAAGGAAGTCGAGTAACTGTTTAAAAAATGCCTGTGCGTTATATAGCTAAAGGTGTGAACAGATTATGCTTATTTAAAACTTCATAACAATAAGCCTCATAATAATGGAGTTATTAGATTCTGAAAATATATTATCTTAAGATGACCCAAAGTTTTCTGTAAATCCCTATGGCCAATTTTAAAAAAACATAATGAACAAATTTCTTTAAATATATAAGAATCTATCTGTACAATAGAATGACAACAGTTAATTATAAAAATGAAAAACCATTAAATTACAGAAATGCAAAAGTGACATTTATAACAGTACAAGTACTATATATAAACTGGGACAAATGTATCTGCATAAATATGCAGAGCTCCGGTAGTCTATAAAAACTTGCACTGTTGCAACAAATAGATATGAAGAAAAACAAGAGAACATCTAAGTGTCCTTGATAAATTCTATTATACTTCTTTTAGACTCAAAAATCAAATACATGAATTCTATATGCTAATACAATGCATGAAATACTAATCCTCTAATGAAGGTCTGAATAAAATTAAAACTTCATCAAAATTTAAACAATTTATAACAAAGAATTCGCATTATTTTCTCAGATTACAACACTTTGCAATAAATCATTGAATATAATATAATTACTAGAAACCTAATACATGCAAATTTTTAATTTGCATATTATATAACATAATATCGAAATAAAAATTCAAAAATATTAAATTGCTTACCAACAGAGCCCCAGTCCGGATGAGCTAAGTTATTGAACCATCCATCGTATCGTTGTTTTTCTGTACAACTGTACAAACGTTCTGAAACCAAAAAGAACCTTTAGTAACAAACAAACTGCAATTAATTTAAAAAGAATGTTAACACACGACCATAAGTATGTTCCTTTCGCAATACTTTTACTCATCACTTGAGAAATTAGAGATCTACAACACAAGAAGCATAGTCGTGCATAACCTTGCATTTATTGTTAAAGTATAATAAGTTAAGTAGAGAAAGTAAGCAAAATAATGGCAAAATACAGCCTGATATAGTGGCTTAAAAGTAGGTTAGAGTTGTAAACACTAAGTAAAAAGCATGGCATTAGTTACAGGTATATCCTGATTTCACAGGTCACGATATTTATAACTTCCATCAATTCAATAGATCGCCATAATCGTATTTTTAGATTTACGAGACTCTTTTTTAGATAATCGAATTATCATTAATAAGATCCGTGCTGAAGGAATTCCGTTCGGTGGGTGACCCAAAACTGGATCAGCCTTGATAATATTCCGGTTGCAAATCCTGGGTATCTTTTATAATGGAGACATTCGACGTTCTTGTAACGTATTATGATTACGTCAGATTAGTCATTTCGTATGACGAAACAAAAAGCACTAATGAAGAAACGATGAATATTATAAGATGACACATAAGGAAATGAAATGAAAGTTTTTAAATTGGCAAACTCGGAAGTGAATGTGCACACTAGAAGAAGAGATCATCTTTGTCATGCATAGAAGTGTGAAACTAACTGCAATCCTTTTATTTAGACACAAAAACAAAGTCAATTTTTATTAGGCCATTGTGAAAGCCTGAATTCTATCGTTAAAAATAAATTAATTGTGTGAATAGCACGCAAAATGTTTTTTTTTTTTTTTAATAATTCGGTTATTTTCTCCAAATTTTTTCATAATATGTGCAAGACTTCACAAAAAATATACTAGGGTCATTTTAATATATAATAAATAAAACAGAAGAAAGTGAGGAAAAAACAGAGACAGAAGCAATAATAAAATACAGGGTGTTATATCTGAAAAAAAAAAGAATATCGATATTTCAGTTATATCATATCTTATAAATGCTTTATACCCACTCTGTATGTTAAGATTCAATTTAACTGAAAACACAAAAAAGCGCGTACCTTCGTTTATCTCTCCACAGATTAAAAATTATCCTATAGCAATTTTTTTGCAAACATCTGCAGTGGCAAAAAAAATCCAAAAAGGTGGAATAACATGGCAATGTCCTAATGAAATTTCAAAAATGAATTATGGTTATGAAACTTAAGAAAAATTCAATCAGGATACGTACGAATATTTTATTTAAAAAACATAAAACTCAAAAAAATGTAAGTCATACCTCAAAAAAGTAACACTCGATGTTGTTGAAAATAATTTTGGTGTACGGTATCAAAGAAGCATGCAACTTTAGTTTATAACTTTTTTCTATGTAAAATAATAATTAATGAAATAGCGAGGACCATGCGTTTAGTGACTCACCCTGTATACTATTTATATTATATGTCAATGTACTTTTTTTTCAAAAATTAACCCCAAATAAAGTAGTATTTTGAGAAGCAAAATCTGGTATACTGTAACTACTTTCTTTATTGTTTAAACATTATAAGTTTGTTTTTCCGAAAACTATGGAAAACTGAAGTCAAAGCGACAAACAAATTTTTCTTTTCTTTTTGATAAACTTTAATTAGTAAACACAAGTGTTTCTTTTGGCAGTTGACACACTTCAAGTGTTTCCAGTTAAATCCACAAGTCATATAATATATTACACGGATAAATTTAAGACGGAAAAAATAAAACCAATGTCTGTTAGTTCTGTGAAGGTGTGACCTGAATGTCATGAAATTTGAAAATTAAGGTTAATTGTTTTGGCATTTTAAATTTTCTTTATTTTGATAATATAAACTACATTTATTTTGTCATTCACATAAATTGCATTTATGAAAAGTTTCTAGAGTAAACATACATATATATATATATATATAAGATCTTAAAAAGCGTGTTGTCTGAAATTGAAGGAAACTTGTAATGAAACTACAGAGACTACACGTTTTTTTTTTGCATTTTGCCGTTTGTAGAACATGAAAATGTCGGTTTCTGGTTACGATTTGTCTATTGTCTATTGTCTACTTACTGGAAACGTTGCAAAAACAGATTAACTTCCAATTTCAAGTGTATCTTAAAATTATCGTCTAGATAATAAAATGCTAACCAAAATATGTTACCTTAGTCCCTCCAAAAATTGTATGATGTCATTTCCAAATTTTGCTCACTTGAACTGTGCAGCGTAAATGCTGCAGTTTAAGAGTGAGTACTAAATGTAAAAAGATACATATATGAAATACAAGGATCCAAAATAGTGCGATGCTAATGTGATAAGATTTATAACAATACAACAATAAAGTGTGCCTCAATTAAACAAAAGTATATCTGAAGATAAATACAGTTTCTATGCAGATATGTGTTTCTACTCACTGTTTTTGTAACCACTCACTATGTTTACTCCATAAATTTTTATTAATGCAAATGTTTTAATAAAGTTACCGCAAATTTCAATTCAGTTTTAGCCTTGTTTAAGTTTATTGTTAGCAAATTACGTCTTCATGGAAGCGATAAGTTCAGAATTCTTTGCTTAATAGTTGTTTCATAAGGACCACTGACACCAATAGCTGTCTAATTAGCGTAATTAGAGAGTTATACAAACGGGGGAGACAAATGTCGACAAATGTCACAGATATAATAAAAAAAGAGCAAATGACCCAATGCAGATTCATTGATACATGGTTGAATAAGATGTTAATATTGTGCATCATCACCAGTAATATCTATTACTAAGTCCGAGAAAACAATGTCTACTTATGCTTGGCCACTTAGAAAATGGATTAAAGAGTACATCTAAATATTATTTGTCTTGTACTGTAATGAATATTTTTTGACATTATGGGTTCAACATCCTTTATATTACCGTCAGTGAATCAGTACAAGTTAGCTAAAACTGTGTTATGAAAGTAAGTAAGCTAAGGAAGTATGTTGATCATTCCCATCAAGAATATGATGACGTCACTTCAAAATTGTATATAATAAATGTTATTTAAATTGTAAAAAGAAACATACTCCTATACGTGTAGTTCATGAATCCATTTTAATTTTTATAGTAGACATCAGATTTTTAGAAAAAAAAAAAACAATTTTATAGCATCGTTTACAATTTAACTTTGAAACTGCAAAACCGAATTCTCTGAAATCGTAAGCATGGTGAATCGTTAACACAAATATCCATTTATTCCCTCCCAAATAATTAATGACGTCTCTCAAAATTTTGCAAAATCCTATCTAACATGTGCAAAATATAGAGTCTACACTTGTGGTTTATCAATACACTTATATCTTTTAAAATTGCTTATACAGGGTGATTTAGAGAAATTAATGAATGAGGAAATTTATTTTATGGATCAAATCAAGAACAGCTGCCGCTATTCTCTTAAAAATTTATAACAAAAACATTGTATAGTACTGTTATTGTTATTAATGTAATGGAAAAACTACTTGGACCATATCAAATTTTATACTTTTTTGTTCTTCAAAAGCGAGGGAAGTTATGGAAGTGTCATTGAATTGACTCTCCTATTATTTAATGACAATACCTTTGTTAGAATCTACTCCAAACATGCAAAATTTCATGTTCCAATTTAAATATGCAATAACTAGGTACATATTTTTATTCCTCGAGGATAAACTAGGGAAGTACTTAGTGTTCATTTAATTAATGGACAATTTAGTGTTTTCTAGTAGTTTTATATGAAGAAATACATAGATCTTTAGTTCCGTTGGTATACATATTCTTTGTCTGTCATATGTTGGTGTTTTTATTAAACATATATCTAATGTCCGAAACTACCTGCATGATTGTTGTGAAATTTTCGATACATTTTAAGAATATCGTGTAAATGATAAAACGTTAACCAAAATTTGCTCAGTAAATCCTACTTCAATTATGCTAAATAATATACTTTTACATTTATGATTTTTTTTAATCTATTCCTAGTATTATATACAGGGTGTTATTGAAAGGTATGTACAACAAAATTGACAGTTATTCGCGAAGTCTAAGAACTCCGAAAAACTTATTTTGTGTTATCAAAATTATAAGGGGAAAATTAACCCTTATCCAACCTTTTTAGACGCTACTGAAGGATAAATAGGTAAAATTAATTTATTTTACTAAATCCTAGCAACTGTAACAATAAAACTTTTGTCAAGACCAGAGCTGTTCAAAGTACTCAAAAAAAGTACTTGAAGTACCAAGTACAAAGTACTGCTTGAAATAGTGTTCAAGTAAAGTACCAAGTACTTACTTTCAGCAAGAGTATTTCAAGTATCAAGTACTTTTCAGATGTACTTGAAGTACAAGCCAAGTACATTACTTCAAGTACTTACGAGTACTTCAAGTACTGTAGGTATACTTCAAGTACTTACAAATACTTGAAGTACTGAAAATGCTTCAAGTACTTTCTAATTATTTGAAATACTGTAGAACTAGATAACTTTTTCTGTTTTTTTAAAAAAGCTTAATATATTTTAGAACTGAATTTTTTAATACTCAGAATTTAAGTATACAATAATACATATTTCGCCACATAAAAACTTGCATAAGCATCAACTTAAATGCAGAATGGTAGCTCACTTATTAATAATACTATGTTATTTATAAACAATATTCTTTTGAAACACTTTTACATCTTTCTGTTGACACAATGCCTTCGACAAAATTAACGTCTACTTCTAATTTAAAATTTAAAATAAAATACATGACGGCGTTGTCTATGTATGCTTACTATTAATTTATAACAAAAACATCGGCGCTGTATGGTATTTTCTCAGGCTTCTGTTGCCTTTTTTTAATATTTTGAATTTTGGTTCACCACCAAAACGTTCTGATTTTTTAATAAAGTTGTGTTAAAAATATATGAATTTTATGAACCGGTTCCGTGTTTAAGTTTGTGGGTAGTTTACAGCACCCT